GACATTTCCTTCATTCCCCTCGCGATATTTCCTTGATTGATTCCCCTCGTGATATTTCCTTGATTCCCCTCGTGATATTTCCCTCGTGATATTTCCCTGATTCCCCTCGTGATATTTCATTGATTCCCCTCGTGATATTTCCTTGATTATCCTAGTGACATTTCCTTGATTCCCCCGTGATATTTCTAATGACATTTCCTTGATTCCCCTCGTGACATTTCCTTGATTATCCTAATGACATTTCCTTGATTATCCTAGTGACATTTCCTTGATTCCCCTCGTGATATTTCCTTGATTCCCCTCGTGATATTTCCTTGATTCCTCTCGTGACATTTCCTTGATTCCCCTTGTGATATTTCCTTGATTCCCTTCGTGATATTTCCTTGATCCCCTCGTGATATTTCCTTGATTCCCCTCGTGAGATTTCCTTCATTCCCCTCGTGATATTTCCTTGATTCCCCTCGTGACATTTCCTTCATTCCCCTCGCGATATTTCCTTGATTGATTCCCCTCGTGATATTTCCTTGATTCCCCTCGTGATATTTCCTTGATTCCCTTCGTGATATTTCCTTGATCCCCTCGTGATATTTCCTTGATTCCCTTTGTGACATTTCATTGATTCCCCTCGTGACATTTCCTTGATTCCCCTCGTGATATTTCCTTGGTTTCCCTCGTGATATTTCTTTGATTCCCTCGTGATATTTCCTTGATTCCCCTCGTGACATTTCCTTCATTCCCCTCGCGATATTTCCTTGATTGATTCCCCTCGTGATATTTCCTTGATTCCCCTCGTGACATTTCCTTGATTCCCCTCGTGATATTTCCCTGATTCCCCTCGTGATATTTCTTTGATTCCCCTCGTGATATTTCCTTGATTATCCTAGTGACATTTCCTTGATTCCCCTCGTGATATTTCCCTGATTCCCCTCGTGATATTTCCTTGATTCCCCTCGTGATATTTCCTTGATTATCCTAGTGACATTTCCTTGATTCCCCTCGTGATATTTCCCTGATTCCCCTCGTGATATTTCCTTGATTATCCTAGTGACATTTCCTTGATTCCCCTCGTGATATTTCCCTGATTCCTCTCATGATATTTCATTGATTCCCCTCGTGATATTTCCTTGATTATCCTAGTGACATTTCCTTGATTCCCCTCGTGATATTTCCCTGATTCCCCTCGTGACATTTCCTTGATTATCCTAATGACATTTCCTTGATTATCCTAGTGACAGTTCCTTGATTCCCCTCGTGATATTTCCTTGATTCCCCTCGTGAGATTTCCTTGATCCCCTCGTGATATTTCCTTGATTATCCTAGTGACACTTCCCTGATTCCCCTTGTGATATCTCCCTGATTCCCCTCGTGATATTTCATTGATTCCCCTCGTGATATTTCCTTGATTCCACTCATGATATTTCCTTGATTCCCTCGTGATATTTCCTTGATTCCCCTCGTGATATTTCATTGATTCCACTCATGATATTTCCTTGATTCCCTCCTGATATTTCCTTGATTCCCTCGTGATATTTCCTTGATTCCACTCATGATATTTCCTTGATTCCCTCGTGATATTTCCTTGATTCCCCTTGTGATATTTCATTGATTCCACTCGTGATATTCCATTGATTCCCCTCGTGAATTTCATTGATTTCGCCCATCATACTCACTGCACCGCTTTCTTAATCGGAGGATAAAATCAGCAGTTTCTCACTTGAGTTTCTAATACATTTCACCCTTTATTTGACATAAATTTATCAGTGGTTTTTTAGGGTTCCCTGATGATTCCCTTGGTGTTATGACACTGTTTCTGATACAAAGTTTGTCTGTTGACCACGTGCCAATTCCATACACATATCAATAAGTTCAGTTATGCATATCCGTTATCGGATTTGGTTGATATTAAATATCGTACAATATAAGATCCTTCAAAGTTATATTGCATTATATTGTATTTTAGTGCCAAACCATTACAGACGTTCGCCTTAATCTTTAACGGAATCTGATCATCCACGTCACCCGGGGCCAGAATGTGATATGTTGCAAAAGATACGCAGAACTTACGCCACTCTTCGAGAATCCACTAGGAGGTCAATATACAGACACCGGTGCTGCACGTGTTTTTTTACTAAGTTCCCACGACAAGTCACTGTATGGAAGTGAGAGAAACATGCTTACCGGCCAAGGTAACACTATACTGTACGATTATCTGTGTTATGTTTTTCCTACATTACATGGTAAATATCCAATAACCAGTCTTAGTCATCGTTATTCGGCTAATGAACGTTAATTAGTGATGTATTGTGTCAATGTATGGTTACCAGGTTTATGCGACTCTTAACTGAGTGACCATAATAGGTCGAGGTACAATGACCAGCGGTTTTTATTGATATGGTAACCAGATTTACGTATTATCGGAGAAGGTTGGTTTGATAATGAAAACTATACGGTAGGAAGAAACTAGAATTACAATTTCCTGTATTTTCTGTTGATAAATGACTGCGTATATTACTTTGTACACCTAATTCAGTAAACGTTAGATAAAGATACCTCTAGACAGTTAAACTTCAGGAGCGGTACATAAATTAGTTTTAAAAGTAAAGTTTTATTGTGAACCGAATGTTATTAGATGGTGATTTTAAAAGAGATTTAAATGCATTTGTGACATTTAGATTCAGATATACAGCAGCAGCATTGTAGACAAATCTTTATCAATGACGTTCCAACATACGGGTAACTGGGCTCTGGTTCCTGCAGAAATCTTTGGAGATGTTACGAGCAATCTTTTACAAATCTAATTGGTTTTGACGCTGACGACTTCCCATCTCGAACCTACATTAATTACGCACCTTCCGAACGTCCTAAGGGTGTGAGGAGACGTGAACTAAGGACCAGCCCTTCATAAACATTACCCTAATGTCGGCCTGAAGCTGAGACTCGGCCGGGTCCCCAGGGGCCTCGTGTCGGCACTGAACAATGTTACTGGAATAAGGCTTGACGCTTGCCATGCATCAGCCGGTTAAACGCGCGCAGTATCGAAGAAAAGGTGAAAATACGATTCCTGATGCAGATGTGCTCAGCTGAGAGTGTGAGGGAGAGTTCCCGATCTATACGTCACAGACCAACCACAGTCACGACAACTCGAGTCCTCCATCTTGATTTACCAAAATAATATAAGATAATCACAATTTTAAAATCTGCATAATTTTTCAGTTATATTTTTTGCAAGCATCGAATTGTCTGTTATTTGTAACGAAATATCTATAGTTGTACGAGCATTGGGATTCTGTTATGTCATATGGGAGATCATATAGAAACTGTCATTGTAAACGGCCTCTAAGAAACCAGAATGGCTGTGTTCTATTGATTGTTTTACCGATGAAACTTTCCATTGTTGTTTGTAAATAAACACCGATGAACACAACGCTCTTTTTATTCACAAATAATAACGCAAAAAATACAAATTTTAACTCTGTAATTGATAAAAGGCAAATATTGGAATATGAATTTTGTTTTCATTTTCTGACACTTTTGAACAAAAACAAAAATGTGCGATACGGAGCAGATGTTTCAGTTTACTTCCCGTAGAGTTAAAATTTGAACCTTAATCACACTGTACTATCTTAATACAGTTTACTGAATGTCGGTTAATTGGTTGTTGCCGTTCCAACGTACAGGTAAAACGTCGATATTGGACCAATGGGAATTAAGTCCTTACCAGACCAGGTTCCATGTCTTTTACATAGAATATGGCATCATTTCTCCGAATAATATGTAATGAGAAGTATAAACTGGTATACATCAAAGCGGGATGATATGTTAAGAAGTTTTCAAAGACACGTTTGAGATGGATGTACTTAGGTCGATTCTGAGAGGGCAAAACGGGAATGAATGTCGAATAATGCCTGGTTTACCGTCATATAAAGAAATTGAATATCATTTTAGGATAGAAGAACGACACTGTAGCTGATATTATATATATATATATAAATGAGTCACACTTCAAACTCTGAAAACTATTACCCATACCATAGGAGATAACACCAGATATACGATGCGATATGAGTATATAAATTTCATTATTAGACTCTCTATTACTACCTTATCCTTCACCAAATCAGTTCTAGTCCCCTGACACGACAAAATCAGTAACTATTTATCTATTGGGGACAGAAATTTAGCAATGTCCCTTCCATACTTAGACACGAAGATTATAGAAAAACCACATAAGTGAATACCATCTTTTAGAATATAAATCTAGAGTTAGATGACATCATCTCATATTTATCTGTGCTGATTCCTATATTACGAAAGCACATATTGCTACTCCTTTTCTGAAAATTCTTTCTTCTTTGAGTCAGTGTGATGGTGTTATTGATCATCTTAATGACCTAACGATGCTTTTAACATTAAGGTCATTACTGCTTCATGATCTAATGTATTCAATTTAATACTATATATGTTAGATCCAGAGGACGATGAAATATGTTAGCTAGTTATGTGCTTCAACGGTAACCAGACGTACATTACTGAGTCATCATGATATGTCAATGTATGGTAACCAGACTTATGCGATTCTTTACTTAGTGACCATAACAGGTCGATGTGCAGCAACTATGGCTATATATGTAAACATTCAAAAGATATGGCCAGAAAAAGGCTTCAGACAAAATTTGAACTTACCTAAATTTTCGCCCTGATGAGAAGATCACAGTCTATAAGACACTACAGAATCAAATGATGCAGCCATGGTTAGATTTTTTTTCATTTACATATATTAAGCCATGCAATAGTTTTCATTCAGTAGTTATGGTCCGAATAAGGATTATACAAATAACACATAAGTAGGTTGTAGCTTTAAATACAAATTTAGAATTATATACTGAAGAGCCAAATAATGAATTAAACAGCCTCATGCTGTTGTTCTGTCCTTCTAGAACTCGTCAGTGATATTAAGAACCTAACTTTAAAACCTGGAAGACAACTGAGAGGAAAATCCGATGAGAAAGGTAGGAACAAGAGCTGTCGAGACGGCAGCACAAGGAATAAAGACAGGAACAGGCAATGTAGATAACGCTAACACAACAAAGAGGAAAGGTAGGACGAAGAGATGTAAAGACAGCTACGCAAAGAGTAAAGGTAAGGACAGTAGCAGTAGAGACGGCAACAAAGGGAAGAAAGGTAGGAACAGGAGATGTAGAGACGTCAACACAAGATAAAAGGTAGGCACAGGATGATGGAGCCGTCAACACAACGAAGAAAGGCAGCAACAGGAGATGTAGAGACACCAACACAAAGAGGAAAAACTGTAGCAATCAAGACGGAAATGCAGTGAAGAAAGCTAGGAATAGGAGCTGTCAGAACGCCAACACAAGGAAGAGATGTAGGAACAGAAGGAACGCCAACACAAGGAAGAGATGTAGAAACAGAAGGAACGCCAACACAAGGAAGAGATGTAGGAACAGAAGGGACGCAAACAAGGAAAAGATGTAGGAACAGAAGGGACGCAAACACAAGGAAAAGATGTAGGAACAGAAGGGACGCAAACACAAGGAAGAGATGTAGAAACAGAAGGGACGCCAACACAAGGAAAAGATGTAGGAACAGAAGGAACGCAAACACAAGGAAAAGATGTAGAAACAGAAGGGACGCAAACACAAGGAAGAGATGTAGGAACAGAAGGGACGCAAACACAAGGAAGAGATGTAGAAACAGAAGGGACGCAAACACAAGGAAAAGATGTAGGAACAGAAGGAACGCAAACACAAGGAAAAGATGTAGAAACAGAAGGGACGCAAACACAAGGAAAAGATGTAGGAACAGATGGAACGCAAACACAAGGAAAAGATGTAGAAACAGAAGGGACGCAAACACAAGGAAGAGATGTAGGAACAGAAGGGACGCAAACACAAGGAAGAGATGTAGAAACAGAAGGAACGCCAACACAAGGAAAAGATGTAGGAACAGAAGGAACGGCAACACAAGGAAAATATGTAGGAACAGAAGGGACGCAAACACTCGGAAGAGATGTAGGAACAGGAGGAACGCCAACACAAGGAAAAGATGTTGAAATAGAAGGGACGCAAACACAAGGAAAAGATGTAGGAACAGAAGGAACGCAAACACAAGGAAAAGATGTAGAAACAGAAGGGACGCAAACACAAGGAAAAGATGTAGGAACAGAAGGAACGCAAACACAAGGAAAAGATGTAGGAAGAGAAGGGACGCCAACACAAGGAAAAGATGTAGGAACAGAAGGAACGCAAACACAAGGAAAAGATGTAGGAAGAGAAGGGACGCCAACACAAGGAAGAGATGTAGGAACAGAAGGGACGCAAACACAAGGAAGAGATGTAGAAACAGAAGGGACGCAAACACAAGGAAGAGATGTAGAAACAGAAGGGACGCCAACACAAGGAAGAGATGTAGGAACAGAAGGGACGCAAACACAAGGAAAAGATGTAGGAACAGAAGGAACGCAAACACAAGGAAAAGATGTAGAAACAGAAGGGACGCAAACACAAGGAAGAGATGTAGGAACAGAAGGGACGCAAACACAAGGAAAAGATGTAGGAACAGAAGGAACGCAAACACAAGGAAAAGATGTAGAAACAGAAGGGACGCAAACACAAGGAAAAGATGTAGGAACAGAAGGAACGCAAACACAAGGAAAAGATGTAGGAAGAGAAGGGACGCCAACACAAGGAAAAGATGTAGGAACAGAAGGAACGCAAACACAAGGAAAAGATGTAGGAAGAGAAGGGACGCCAACACAAGGAAGAGATGTAGGAACAGAAGGGACGCAAACACAAGGAAGAGATGTAGAAACAGAAGGGACGCAAACACAAGGAAGAGATGTAGAAACAGAAGGGACGCCAACACAAGGAAGAGATGTAGGAACAGAAGGGACGCAAACACAAGGAAAAGATGTAGGAACAGAAGGAACGCAAACACAAGGCAGAGATGTAGAAACAGAAGGGACGCAAACACAAGGAAAAGATGTAGAAACAGAAGGGACGCAAACACAAGGAAGAGATGTAGAAACAGAAGGGACGCAAACACAAGGAAGAGATGTAGGAACAGAAGGGACGCAAACACAAGGAAAAGATGTAGAAACAGAAGGGACGCAAACACAAGGAAGAGATGTAGGAACAGAAGGAACGCAAACACAAGGAAGAGATGTAGAAACATAAGGGACGCTAACACAAGGAAGAGATGTAGAAACAGAAGGGACGCAAACACAAGGAAAAGATGTAGAAACAGAAGGGACGCAAACACAAGGAAAAGATGTAGAAACAGAAGGAACGCCAACACAAGGACGAGATGTAGGAACAGAAGGAACGCCAACACAAGGAAAAGATGTAGAAACAGAAGGGACGCAAACACAAGGAAGGGATGTAGAAACAGAAGGAACGCCAACACAAGGAAAAGATGTAGAAACAGAAGGAACGCCAACACAAGGACGAGATGTAGGAACAGAAGGAACGCAAACACAAGGAAAAGATGTAGAAACAGAAGGGACGCAAACACAAGGAAAAGATGTAGAAACAGAAGGGACGCAAACACAAGGAAAAGATGTAGGAACAGAAGGAACGCAAACACAAGGAAAAGATGTAGAAACAGAAGGGACGCCAACACAAGGAAAAGATGTAGGAACAGAAGGGACGCAAACACTCGGAAGAGATGTAGGAACAGAAGGGACGCAAACACAAGGAAGGGATGTAGAAACAGAAGGAACGCCAACACAAGGAAAAGATGTAGAAACAGAAGGAACGCCAACACAAGGACGAGATGTAGAAACAGAAGGAACGCAAACACAAGGAAAAGATGTAGGAACAGAAGGGACGCAAACACAAGGAAGGGATGTAGAAACAGAAGGAACGCCAACACAAGGACGAGATGTAGGAACAGAAGGAACGCAAACACAAGGAAAAGATGTAGAAACAGAAGGGACGCAAACACAAGGAAAAGATGTAGAAACAGAAGGAACGCAAACACAAGGAAAAGATGTAGGAACAGAAGGGACGCAAACACTCGGAAGAGATGTAGGAACAGAAGGGACGCAAACACTCGGAAGAGATGTAGAAACAGAAGGAACGCCAACACAAGGAAAAGATGTAGAAACAGAAGGAACGCCAACACAAGGACGAGATGTAGGAACAGAAGGAACGCAAACACAAGGAAAAGATGTAGAAACAGAAGGGACGCAAACACAAGGAAAAGATGTAGAAACAGAAGGGACGCAAACACAAGGAAGAGATGTAGGAACAGAAGGAACGCCAACACAAGGAAGAGATGTAGAAACAGAAGGGACGCAAACACAAGGAAGAGATGTAGGAACAGGAGCTGTTTGGACGCAAACACAAGGAAAAGATGTAGAAACAGAAGGGACGCAAACACTCGGATGAGATGTAGGAACAGAAGGAACGCCAACACAAGGAAGAGATGTAGGAACAGAAGGAACGCAAAAACAAGGAAGGGATGTAGGAACAGAAGAAACGCCAACACAAGGACGAGATGTAGGAACAGAAGGAACGCAAACACAAGGAAAAGATGTAGAAACAGAAGGGACGCAAACACAAGGAAAAGATGTAGAAACAGAAGGGACGCAAACACAAGGAAGAGATGTAGGAACAGAAGGAACGCCAACACAAGGAAGAGATGTAGAAACAGAAGGGACGCAAACACAAGGAAGAGATGTAGGAACAGGAGCTGTTTGGACGCAAACACAAGGAAAAGATGTAGAAACAGAAGGGACGCAAACACTCGGATGAGATGTAGGAACAGAAGGAACGCCAACACAAGGAAGAGATGTAGGAACAGAAGGAACGCAAAAACAAGGAAGAGATGTAGGAACAGAAGAAACGCCAACACAAGGACGAGATGTAGGAACAGAAGGAACGCAAACACAAGGAAGAAATGTAGGAACAGAAGAAATGGATACACTAGCACAAAGTAGGAGCAGGCATTGTCGAAACTCCAACATAAAAAATGGAATACCTACAGATAAGTGGTTAGACCACAACAGATATGACATCTGCTGAAGCCTTTTGGCAGATTTAGAAATGATATGTTGATCGCCAACAAGCTAGAATATATCGAATCTAATAAGTTAATACACATCACGTATATTACATTTTTTTAAAGAGGGGAAGTATATAGAACACATTCAGATACATAGACTGTGTTGTTTTTCAATATATCTTATTAAACTTAACTGCTGTAAAAGTAGTGCTCAATATATGTCACACACTTTAAATCTGATTTCCGATTTCCAGTGCTTGTGCAATCGTAACAAATTATGGGCAAACGCGACAATTCAGATGGGTTAAACGAACGTTTCAAAACATTTCGATATGTCAGAAAGAAAATTGTCGAACACTACTATGTCATATTTATAACTTACATCAATTTCGCTGTATTACCAGAAATCATACTAAATAGGAAACACAATCCATTAATCTGATGACTCAAGGTCCAGACTGAGGTCAGATGTGTATCGGACATTTGACCGGTGGAGGTATTTCTGTAATTAAGGGTATGGGGTATATAATGGAATATTACCACTGTCCCCGTAGTCACAAACACGCAGAGTTTCTGGTCCACCCGAGGGAGCAGTCTGTGTTTGGTATATTTAATCTAATTCATTGCCATCACACACCACTTCCGTGTGTTGGAAGTCTTGTCATCTTTTGGAGACACGTTGTAAATATTTCCTTCCAGTCGTTTTTATTATTTATATGCAGGAAATGAGAAAGAAGACATGGCTGGCCGATGATAAAGAATATCATTGGATTAAAACATATTATATGTATTTAAATCTTACAGAGATAGCCATTCATCAATACGCCACATTAATCCAAATACTAATAACTGATAGTCTCGACAATTATTCCGATTATAAAACCTTCTATCTACATTCGGATTAATTAAGATTGTGGATGATTTGCATCGTGTCTCCGTGGCGTTCCGACTGACAGTGACTGCGACGACATAATGCGCCACTCCCTCGTGACACTATGCCACAATGGGCGGTGACATGGGGCAGATTTTGGCGGGGATCTGTGACCGAGGTGGCGTGATTTCGCGGGATTAATACGTTGAGAGATCACTGGACGTTATTGTTTGCTTCGGAAAAATGGATTAAAAGGTAATAGACGAATAGATGAATTTTTATAAAAATATTTATCTCAGGGTGAAGCAAATGATTGAATTTGCCTGCTTCGGAATACTGATAGTGTTAGTGGATCCACGAGAGATATCCCACTTAATCAGATGTGTTATAAAGCATAAACACACAATAGAGGGAGAAAGGCATTTGCACACGGTTTTGTATAATTCAATCTTTCGCGGGAAATTGACTGAAGTGGCCATCTTGCCAGGTGTTGCCATTACTTAATTAAGAAATTGTTACCTGAATATCATATCATCTGGTGACATCATAAAATGATCTGTTAGGCTTGTACTTATAAAAATGTTCACCATTCAGATTATTTCATAGTGTATCTGTGCGTTCATGTAAATCACTAGTACATCTCGGTTATTTAACGGTCTGTTAACTTTCATTTATCAGACGGGTTATATCAAACTCTACAAAAGTTACAATTGGGCATGTGAATATATTACAAACACAGATTTCGGTAAATAATCTTTGAAAATGTTTTCCACATCAGAGAACTAAGGAGAATATCGAGTCGATATGTAAACATTTACTACAACAGGTGATATATGTTTTAGGTAAGATCTTTGATGTGAACACTCGTTGAAAGAATGAAATTACGTTTTCTATGATCTTTGACAAAATTACCTGTCCATACTTTTATAAATATACAACTAAGTAAAACCGAATCATTTTTCCTGTCTAGTCGTCTGGTTAATAAGGCATTGATAATGTTATATCCTTTTACAGACCTGAGAGTAAATTGGTCGCCAATTAGAGCGACGTCGAAGGAGCGAGAATGCGAGGTTTGCCATTGCCATCATAGAGTTGAGTATTTGTGACAATATAATGTGCTTCTTGGGAACGTGACATAACTTACTTGGACTGATTAAGATTTACATGAAGGGTATGGTTAATTAGCAAATGATACTACCATTTCTGAACATCCGTTCTTAATGCCCTTGAACCTTTTCAGTAGTCTCAGTGTATATCTGTCTTTGGCCATTAATTGCCCTAGTTTTCTTGAAACTGTGTTTGAATTATGACTCCGTTAACATGTCGGTATTTCTGTTCTTATTTTAGTACAGTTGAATCTTAATAAATTGTATCATTCTTTCGTTTATGTTATACCGTCAAATTGAATTTACGGACAGGGAGTAAAAAACAACAGCACTGCCGTACCAAAATTTATAATTTCGCCAGCTGCTGAAGGAAATTAGCTTATGACTGTTGTGTCTCAACTTTCCATTGACAGACATTCATTTTCAATGTACAGAAACATGATAAACAAATGTCGAAGAAAAAAAACGGAATATCATTTTAACATATGTTTCAAAAGAGTGTAGTAAATTCATACAGCGTTACTTAGAATATTAGAAATGTAATTTATCATGAATAGTTTGATCAATATATATAAATATAAGTCTGTTGGCCTGCAGATACGACAGCATAGGGACATTGCCTTAATTTTGATATTGTGGTGTGGGTTGGTATATATATCATTAATACGTTTGAAACCAATCCCAATACAGACGAGGAAGAATAAAGACCAGGTACCATTGTCACAATAAAGTGTCAAACGTTTGAACCTGATATTACACCACCTCGAAATCATAAGGGCTACCATTATGGCCAGGTCTATACAGGCATACCGGAAAACTAACCATATATGAAATAAAAGTAGATAAAACATAGCGATATTGCAGACAGTAATTAAACTGATATTCTGATAGCTATTCCATATAATCTAACAATCATTCAGCACTAAAGAAAACCAGGCATAACATTTGTGAGTGTTACAATATCTACAAAAAAATATACAAAAGACACAGCAGGAGATAACACATTTTACTAATTCATAATTAGATAACAGCAGAGTCGATAAATAATTTTTAAAAATTGTATCATACAGCTGTTTCGTCCGTCTAGGACACGTCAATGATGTTAATAATCTACAAAGTAATCGAAATAACACAAAATCTAGAGGGGAAGGTGCACTAGCTTATTTTTCGTAATTTCTACCTATATATGATTATTTTAAATCTGGTACATATGTATGTCCTGAACCGTGCCATCATTCGAAAGCATTAAAACATGAAATTTAGACAAACCTCAAAGGCTAGAAGTCTACCAGCAGTGTTTACAGCCTGCAATTTCTTTCACGTAGACTGCACTCAAAGCTGAACACAGGTACGAGTCACAAGTTTGATACACTCTATCTTGCTGGTATATACATTTATACAGCTAAAAGGAAAATCATAAAACATGATCATAGTTAACAACCATGAAAGTATATAACAAAACAAACCAGGTATACCAAGCAGAAATCTTATCAACTTATACAGAAATGACAAATAATCGCAACATCATTCACTGGTCAAGAAATTCAACGAAAACGTTAACACGACTTTCATATGTACAAAAATGATTTTTTCCCCTTAAACAAACAACCTTTATTCTGTGTAGAGCTAAGTGTAGGTTTGAATTAGAACCTTAATTGTTTATCGGCGCCATATCAATTTAAAACTGACATTCAGCAACTCTTACATCACTATCTTCAGATCTATTCCAAAATTTGCATAACGGATGTCTGTGATGACATAGAAGATGCCACGTCTTCTGGAAGATTGTACAAAAGACATACAAGTGAATAGCACCTTTTCATAAATTAGAGTGTGATACATTAAATCTAAACAATGAATGAATTAAACTACATTATACAACTGTGTCGTCATTCAAATGCCTCATTTGTCTTGTAACTATTCAGGGACCTCTCTCTCTAATTATACTAATTTTACTAACATTAGGTATGATGACGAAGTCAATATTCTCAATGCATATTTTTTCTAAATTCTCTTTTTTGAATGACAACGCTGTATGAAGTGATAACCCATACGTTACATGTAGAACGGAACAATAAAGTGCAGTGCTAAATCGAAATCGCTATATCAGGTATTGTCAAGGCAATCCCACCTATAAAAGGCGATCAATGTGATACTGCAAAATACTGAGATAAGTGAGAGTTTGTATCAATATCATTACTACAGATATTTACGATAGAGAGCATATATCACAATTTAAATTCATCTTAGGGTTTCTAAACGGTACGAGTACAATTTGTAATTTAAAAACTACTTTCAATAAAAACAGAAATATATATCTTTTCTGATTTAAGAACAGTTTTTATCCTGAAGTCTATAAAAAGCTTAAATTTACGAACTTAAACCACAAAAACAGAATTTGATAACA